CCCGCCCCCCCCCCGCCTCCCTCACATCCTGATGTGATTAAGGAATCTCAGAGCCGCTTGTTTTTCTGCCCCAGCTTGTTCCTGTAGCCCGAGGTTTTCGGCAGGCCCCGCGTGAGAGGGGGGAGGGGGAGGAGGAGGGGGGGAGGGGGAGGGGGAGGAAGGCTCTGCCGTCCCCCGTCCCCCCCCCCCACCGCCCCCCTGCCAGCCAGCTGCACGCTGCAAGGCCCGGCTGGCCTTTGAGGAGGGAGGGGGGGTCCGGGAAGGGGCCTGGGGTCCGGTCTGGAGGCCCGAGGCCAGGGGGGTCCCCACCCCATGCGACCCCCCCACACAACCCTCAGCTGGGGCCCCTCCCTCTGTTGGGGAGGCTGGGCGGGGGATCCGTTCCCCGGTGTTGTGCTTGGTTGCCATGGCGCCCTCCCCCCTCCGTTTTCTCCCCCGCCCGCTGGAAGGAGGAGGACGTCCAGGTGGAGGCCCTGCTGGACGACGCGGAGGAGGCCGAGGGCAGCGGTGACGAGCTGGACATCCGGGAGCTGCGGGCCAAGAAGCAGGTGCTGGCCAGGAAGGTGGCCGAGCAGCAGCGCCGGCAGGACAAGATCCAGGTCGGTGCAGCCCTGGCGGCTCAGGGCACAGGGCCCCCCCCCTAGAAAGAGGGGGGAGACCCCCCCCCCCCCCCGCCCGGGGGGCCGGCCCCCCCACCCCCCCCCCCCGCCCAGCCCAGCGATGGTGGGAGCCGGGCTTGAGCCCCCTGCCCACGCGTGGCCCTCGGGTGGCACCCAGGGCGCCCCTGGCAAAGGCTGTCCAGCCGGAGCATCTCTGGGGGGGCTTCCGGCCGCCCCCTCCCCCCCTGCCCCCCCCTCCGCTGTGCCCAGGGCCCTCCGGCCCCCTCCTGCCATAACGCTTCCTTCCCCAGCCTTGAACCCCAGCCCAACACATCTGTCTCGCCATACGGGCGCGAACTCTGCCGCCTGTGCCGAAGCGCTTGTGAAAGAGGGCCGCCAAAGGCCCGGCGGGGAGAGCCGGCACATGTGTCTCCGCCGGCTGTTGGCTGCGGGCCCAGAAGCCCCCCCAGCCCCCAGCCCCCCGGGCTCCCCAGGCCCACCGTTGCAGGGCTCGGGGGCAAGTGGCGGGGGAGAGAGGGTGCTGGGCCTGGGGGGCAGTGGTGCAAAGAGTCCCCCCCTCCCCCCTGCCCTTTGCCCGCTCCTCTCCTCTGGCCTTGTGCTGACGGGGGGGGGGGGGGGGGGGGGGAGCCCGCAGCCCCCAGGCACCGCCCTAGGCGGGGAGGGGCCCTTTCTGGAGCCAGGCCGCTGCCCACCTGGAGCAGAGGAGCCCAGGCCCCCCTCCCCCTCCCAGCCCCGCCCTTCTTTCCTGGGCAGCCAGCGGGGCAGCCCCTCCCCAGGGAGCCTCCAGCAGCAGCGGCAGCAGCGGGAGGGGGGAGGGCAGGGGGGGCGGGGCAGGCTGCCTGCGGGGGGCTAAATTTAGCCGCCCGTCCATCTGTGGGTCCGGGCCCTCCTTCCGCGCTGGGAAACAATGAGCCAGCGCCCGCACACCTGCCAGCAGCGGAAGGGCACCCCCGCCCAGCCGCTCCGCCACACCGGGGGCAGGCGAGTCCTCCTGGGCAGCGGACGTGGCGGATGCCCCCCAGGGGAAGAGGAAGGCGTCAGCCGCCCCCCCCCGCTTGCCCTGGGCTCTGGCCATGGCCTGCAGCCCCTGGTCCTGGGGGGTCCGGGGAGGGGGCTCCTCCTGCCCTTGCGCGCACACACACACACACACACACACACACACGCACACACACACAGCCTGCCCAGCCCCTGCCGAGGCCGGCTTCCTTGCGCTGGGGCAGGGGGGGCGGTCAGTCTTGGCCGCGGCCCACGGCTGCTCCTCCTCCTCCTCCTCCTCCTCCTCCTCCTCCTCGCATCCTGTCGTCCCGTCTTTGGCCAGCCCAGGGGAGCCGCTGGGACGTGACAGCCGGCACAGAGCGGCTTCTGCGCCTGGAGCCTGGCAGTCGGGCCAAGAGCCTCGGAAGGGCACGGCGGTCACAACCCCCCTGTGCGGCGGAAGGGAGCCCTGAGGTCCTCCAGCCCACCCCCTTGGCCAGGGCAGAAATAGCCCAGAGGAATGGCTGATCTCTGGCTTAGTCCTGGCTTAATATGCCATCTGGCTTAATGGTTCTGTAGGCCACCTGGTCATGGTTTGAGCAGGGGGGTCAGACTAGAAGACCTCCAAGGCCTCTTCCAACTCTCTTACTTTGTTACATGCATTCTGAGATATGGCATCGTAGGCCGTTTAATTAAACCTCTGGTTTAATCATGGTTTAATGAGCCAGGTGGGAGCAGCCTGGACCTTTCCTTGCAACCGCCGGCCCACAGGGACGTGGGCACACACAGTATTTCGGGGGAGACAGCCGGGGTGGGGGGGGTTCAGGCAGCCCCTCCTCTGCTGCTCAGGGGGAGCTCTAAGCAGTGAGAGAGCCAGCCGGGGGATGAAGCCGCCGGCCGCCTGGTCTGCCTTCCACGCCATGACGAACTCAGAGCGATGGTCTTGGGGGGGAGGAGAAGCCCGCGGAGCCCCCTCAAAGCACAGTCATTGAATCCTAAGGCTGGGAGGGACCTTAGAGGTCCTCTAGTCCAACCCAAGAGGCCTTATATCAGGCGTGTCCGAGCCTTTAATCCTCTATGCTGCCCGGGGAATTCTGGGAGCTGAAGTCCAAGATGGGGCAGCCTTGCTTTATATCACACACCCCACACACCCCGCAGACATGGTTCCCTGGCCTTTTCTTGAAAGCCTCCGGGGCTTTGAGGAGGGAGGGGCCAGGCGGGTCTTCCCCTCCCGTTCCGGAGCACCGCAGCTCCCATCAGGCCCTGCCGGGGGGGGGGGGGGGGGCCCCGCCCCCTTGCCTGTCCCTGGGGTGGCTGACGGGCCGGTCTCTCCCCAGGCGGTGCTGAAGGACCAGGCCCAGGTGAGGCAGATGGAACTGGAGATCCGGCCCGTCTTCCTCGTCCCGGACACCAACGGCTTCATCGACCACCTGGGCAGCCTGGCCAAGCTGCTGGAGTGCAGGCAGTTCATCCTGGTGGTGCCCCTGATTGGTGAGCGTGGGGAGGGGGGGACCCCAACGGGGGGGGGGGTGCCAAGAGCCCCCCACCGCCCCCGGTCCCCCCGGCCCCCCGGGCCGGAATTGGGGGGGGGGGGGGGGGGGGGGGCTTTCCTTTCCAAGGTTCTGGGGCTCCTTCGCCAACTCTTCACCCACCTGGCTGGATGGGTTGGTGCTGCCCTCCAGTTGCCCCCCCCCTCGGTCCTGCCCCCCCTGGACTTCTCCCCCAGCCGCCCTGGGTGCCCCCCTCAGCTCCAGCCTCCCCCGGCCTCTGGCAGGGAGGGAGGAAGGAAGAAAATGGGGGGGTGGGGGGATTACCCTGCGGAACCAGCTTCCAAGTGGCCCTGCGGCCTCCCCCCTGCACCCCCCCTGCACCCAGCGTCATTCCCCCCCCCACCCCACGGGCTCCAGGAGCACAGCCGTCGGAGGAGGCTGAGCGCAGTGCGGGAACCGTCCAGTGGGGAAGGCCGAGCCGGGCGGGGCACAGCCCCCCCCCGCCCCCCCCCAGTCCAGCCGCCGGCTTGGCTCTCCCTCCTCTCCTTATAAAGCTGCAGCACAGCAGAGCTGGCTCCTGCCAGGGGTAAACACTCAGCGGGCAGCAGATAACAGCCGCTGGGTGGTCTGTGCGGGGGGGGGGACACGTAGGACATTGGGCACCCTCCTCCTCCTCCTCCTCCTCCTCCTCCTCCTCCTCCTCCGGGAGGACCTGGGCTCCGGCCATCTGCCCGGCAGCCAGGCAGCTCCGTCTGTGGGGAGGCCTGGCCTGGGGGAGGGGGCTGCTGACCCAGGCTCCTTCTGTGGCAGCCCCTCCTGCCCCCCCCGCAGGGGGCAGGATCTGTGCTTGCTCCCCCAAACACTGGGGGGGGGGCCCTTTCCCCCTTGGGGCGGGGCAGCCAAGAGGGTAAGGCTGCTCCGGCCGCTGCCGCCCGCCCACCAGGGCCGCTTTCCCTGGCTCCTTCCCCGCTCTGCCTCCCTCCCTCCCTCCCTCCCTCCCGCTCCTCCGCGTCCCCCGAACCCGACCCCGCTGGCTGGCTGGCTGGCCGGCTGGCGGAGGAGAAGCCGGGCTGGGCAGGAGCGCAAACAAGCCGCTCCTTTGAAGGCTGTTTGGCTTGGATGCGGCCGCGGGACGGATCTCGGGTGGCGCTGCAGCTCCTCCCGCCGTCCCTTTGGCCGGTCATCCGCAGGCTGTTTGATCTGCCCGGCACAAGCCGGCCCTGCAACCCCCCCCCCCCCCCCCCCCGCAGGGAATGCTGGAGCGGGGCGGGGGGGGGGCCCGGCCCCGGGGGGCCCCCCCCAGGGGGGGCAGCCCCCCCCCCCCAGGGACGCTGAGGGTCTCGCTGGATCTCACCTCTTGGCGGGCGGCCCAGAAGGACCCAGAAGGGGCGGGGCCACAGCCTCCCGGGTGGGCTGGGCAGGGTCACTTCGCCCCTTGCTTTGTCCCACACTCTGGGGGGCCCCAACACGCCCCCCTCCCCCCCCAAATGCC